AGAGAGAGAGAAAGCAAGTTGCCAGGTCTGGGATTCAAACCGCGGTTGGCCATGTGGGAGTCCAGCGCCCTTAACCACCACGCTACCTGCCAGCCCCCTGTTTGTTTTTTAGTTTTGCTGTAGGTGCCAGAGAGGCAGAGAGAGAAAGTGAGAAATCACTCCCTAGGGGAAATGACCATGCCACAATCCCTTCTCCATTCTCCTCTCAGGATTTTGGGCATGCACACGCACATATGCCCAGGGTGACTTTTAAGCCACAGGGTCTGGGACCTGAGTCGTGGTCAGCCATGATTAAGCCAGTATCTTTTTTTTTTTTTTTTTTGGGAGGGTTTTTCACTATAGGGCGTGTGCGCTCACCAGAAAGAGACAGAGACAGAGACAGAAAAGCAAGAAATCACCCTCCAGGAGCGATGGCCACGCCACCCCCCCCTCTCCATTCTCCTCTCGGGATCTTGGGCACGCACACGCGCCTGGCGTAAGTTTAAGCCACCAGGTCTGGGACTCAAACCGCAGTCAACCACATGAGAGTCCAGAGACACAGCCATTACGCCACCTGCTGGTCCCCTGGAATGAACACGTACGGACCAGCACTTACTCTCACTCTGTGGACACCTGAGAGTTCTCTCTTGTTTTGTTTGCTGCTGTTGTCATCTTGCTAGAGAGCACGTGTGCTCACCAGAAAGACGGAGAAGGAGAAGGAGAAATAGGAGTCACGGGGGACGGCCATGCCATAGCCCCTTCTTCCCCAGTCTCCTCTCAGGGTTTTAGGCACACACGCACACGCGCCCTGCACTGTCTCTCAAGCCTTTGGATCCGGGACTCAGCTGTCAGCTGGTGTAGTTGGCCACGTGGGATCCAGCCAACTTAACCTCCATGCCCTCCTCTGCCCCTGGTTGTCTTTTTTTTTTTTTAGTTCCTGAGAGAGAGAGAGACAAGCACCCACCAGGTCCTCACGCTGTGGTCCTCCTCAGTCAGCCAGGGTCACTGCACAGGCCACGGTGCAGACAGGGGACACCGGGACCCCAGAACCCTCCCTGGCCTGGCAGTGCGCAGCTGGCCCTTCTCCTGTACTATTCTGCTGTGTTCAAAATTCTGGTCACTACCCATGAAGCTGACCACACGAGCCAATGGGTCACAGTCTCCAAGTCGAAAACACAGGATGAAGGGAGGAGGAGACCGTTCTCTGAAACAGGAGTTAGGTTCTACTCCCCAAAGAAGGGATGCTTAGAGGCAAAATAAATTTAAAATTCAAAATTTTAATTTTTACCAAAAGATGGGCCAACAGGTGGTGTGGTGGTTAAGGCGCTGGACTCCCACCTGGCTGACCACGGGTACAGTCCTGGAATTGCTTAAAACATCACGCTGGGCACATGTGCACGCATACCGCAAATCCCAGGAGAACGGAGAAGGGACTGCAACGTGGCCATTGTTGCTGGGAGGTTTCTCACTTTCCCTCTCTCCGTCTCTCTCTCTCTGCCACAAACCCACATCCTATGACAAAAACCTTAAAAAAAAATTACAAAAAGCACATCCTATGACAAAAACCTTAAAAAAAATTACAAAAAGAAAAAAAACAAAACAAAACACTACTGGCCCAGATCTGCATTTCAGCTTCCCGGTGACCTGATGGTCCCACCCTGCCCCAGCTAGTGGCCAGGGTGCTGGTGATGCTGGGGTCTCCCTGGAACCGAGGGAGGGGAGGGGGTGAAGGGATAGGCTCTGGGCTAGCAGCAGGCCTCTCTGTGACCTCGTCCCTTCCTCCCAGCCGAGAAGGACTTGGACGAGGCCTACCTGAAGCGCCGGCACCTGGGGGAGATGCCTCGCGGGACGCTACCCTTGCACGCGCTGCGGCGGCCGGGCACCGGGGGCGGCTACC